GAAAAACATAGAAACAACCTAGATGAATATCTAAATGAACTGTGTTTCATATATGCAATGGAACGGGAAACAATAATGATGACTTGCAAAACATCTCATAACTTGGATGACTCTGGGGGACATTATGCTGAATGAAATCAGTAAATCATAAAGAACAGATATTGTATGAGGCCGCTGTCATAAAGTCATGAAAAGTATACACATAGAAACATTCTTTGATGGAGAGGAGAATTACCAACTGAATAGTAGACGCATAATTCTGGTGAAGCAAAAGGGAATGCACAGTCCAGGGGAAGGCAGCACCATGTGGACAAGTCACAGGAAGACACCAAGGGGTATGCATGAATAAAAGAGAATGATGGTAAATAAATACAATGAGAGCCCCGACACCTTCGTGCTTCTGAGTTGGGCTGCCAGCCGCATGGTCAGCAGTTCAAAGTCACCACCTATTCCTCAGGAGAAAGACGGGCTTTCTATTCCTATAAAGAGTAACAATCCTAGAACTTCACAGGGGGCAGATCTATCCTAGTCTATTGGGTCACTATGAGTCAGCCTTAACTCGAGGGAAGTTTGTTTGTTTTTGGAGTTTATGATAAATACAACAACACATACACTCTTGCAACATCAGTAATAACTAACATTGATCTTTCAGTAGCAACATAGGTAAATATGTGAGCTGAATAGCTGGAGAGGTGAGGGAGGCCTGCTGGGAGCAAACAGTATAAGTGCATATGTATGGCTGTGGATATTTCTACATATGGGTAATATTGTGAGTATACTCATATATATAATAGAACAGATAGGGGTTACAGGAACTACTTTACCACTCAGACTGAACAGCTGGATCTGAAGACTTAGGACCATAATCCTAAGGAAAATTTTGGTCAACCAGAAAACATAGTTCATAAAGACAATGTTTACATTTCCATCTGGTAAATATCTTCTGGTAAATAAAGCTTCTGAGGGAGTGGCCATGTAAGAAGGAGCTACTATGGCCTTCCCACTGGGAGCAAAGGGGCATGAAGAAAACTGATGCCTCACAGATGGAATTAGCCCGAATAACTATGTTCTGTTTTGTTTTAATATCGGGCTTTATCTCTGATGTATTTTGTCATTGTGGTTAGACTTCTTTAATATTTGTTCTTCATTTTCCTATGTTCTTTAGTATATGAAACCCAGGATTGATAACTAGAATAAGGGTTTCCAGGGGTACAGTGGAGGAGATGGGAGATAAGTGGGAGCTGATATCAAGGAGTTTAAGAAGGAAGAAAATGTTTTGAACTGATTGTGATAGCAATTGTACAATACTGCTTGATGTGATTGAACTATGCAATGGTATGGTGCCTGGATTAGTCCTGATAAAATCATTTTTCAAAAAGACTAATGTCTGAGTCACAGCCTACTATAAGCTGAGATGAGAAAAAAATAGTTGGTGTCCAGCTACCACTACTAACCAACCACTCTGGTTATAACCACAATGTAAGGTCCCGGTGAGAATGGGTAACAAAATGTAGAACACAATTCAAATAAAAATACAAATGGGTGCTATAGCAAAGTATGGTGAAGAAATTTAGATAGTGCCCAGCTATCAGAAAGAATAGTGCCTGTAGTCTTAAAAGGCTTGTTTTCAAACAAGGAGCCATCTAAGTGAGACATCGACTAGTCCACTACGCCCACATGGAAAAATCACACCTTCTGTGATCCAAGGATTGTGAAGGATATCATCCAAATCCCGAAGAAGGAAGTGGTACCAGAATTTCAATTGTGAATTGCTGGTTAGCAGAAGACGGTGGATGATAGTGGAAGCTCAAAAAGCATTATCAGCATCTAGACATAGAGTAAGTCCCCAGGGATTTCCCCCTAGCCATCAGTGAGGGATGGGGGAAAGCCTGGTGATCAGAGAGTGGTAGAGAGAGGATTATAGTAGATAAAAATGCAAAATCTGACCTGAATGGTTAAAAACTGATCATTTGAGCTCCCTTTTGGCATGCTTGGAGTGTGATCTGGTTTTTAATATTTTTTGTCTTTTTTTTTTTTTACAAAACAGCTTTTCTCAGTTGTATTTTGTTATTATTGGAAGCATTCTGGACCCTCTGTGATGCATCTCTCTAGGTTGTTCAGTATATGAACCCCAGGTTGGGCAAACTATAGAGACAATGACTGGAATAAGGATTCCTGGCGAGTAGACAGGGCTGGGAGGGTGAAGAGGACAAGAAGGAAGAAGATGCTTTGTGGTAGTGATTGTGGATCAGAGGTTAATATGACAGAACTATTGAATGGGGTGTGACTGACATGTTCTAATAAAATGATCTGAAAAATAAACAAGTGAAAAAGGCCAGGCTGAACTGGCCTGAAAATACTGGAAGAAACCTCCTTCTTAAAACGACCTTCTTCCTTGAAAGTTAGGACACTTTCAGAAGTCACCTTTCAGCCACATAACAGACGGGCCTGTAAAATAAATTCAGAAGTAATGTGCTCCTTAGGACAGTCAATTATAGGGAAACCCAAAGGGCAGCCTTGGCTCAAAATGAAAGAGAGGAAGGCAGGGAGGGAGGGGAAACCAGACAAATAACAACAGGGAACACAGGAAGGAAATGGTGAGAAGGCTGACACCTTGTGGGATTGTAATCAGTGCCCAGGAATGACTTAAATCAAAATGATTGATTGGAAAACTAAATTGCTCTGTTACTTCCACTTACTTCAAAACACAATGTTTAAAGTGCGCGTGTTCTTTGGAGTGGCTTTATTTCTCCTACGAAGCACTCGTTTCCCCTTCGTGGCTTTGTGTTTTGTCACCCGTAGGGCGGAGCCAGAGCTCGAGGGCATCTAAGAACACAGCATCGCTGTGTGTACTTGACGATCAAAAGCATCACTTTCCGTTTCTGTTCCAGTCACAGGGCCTTCCTCTCTAGATTTGGATTCATGCGATTCACCTGGCTCTCCAGGTTGCTGTTCGCTGCCATTGAGTGGATTCCTAGCTCATGGTCCTTCAAACACAACAGAAAGCCCCTTAGCCGGGTCCTGTGCCATCCCTGTGGTCAGCTGCAGATCAGATGGGGGTGGGGTGGGGGCTTGTTTACGGGCTGATTTTCCAAAGTAGATCCTGATGCCCCTGCCTTTCTTCCTAATCTCCCTTAATCAGAAAGTTCAGCAGCCAAGCAACCGGCAAGCCTCCGGTGAGGGATCAGGGTAGCTCTGCCTGAAGTGTATTATCTGAGACTCAAGCCATGGTTTCCTGCACGGAAGGAAAAGATTCCACCACTGAATCAAGCAATGCCTCCTAGGGTTTCACCATCACAGACGTACTTGGTCGGCTATGACGGAGGAAGCGATTGCTTGGCCTCTGCCTGGATACAGTTCCAGAAACATCTCTTTCCCAGAAATAGGTGCTTATTCCTCCTATTCCATTTTACCACGCTCATCACGGTCAGATTCCACAGTTTCAAACCATGTAGATCGCTTTCTGGGAGGAATCTCTGATTTGAAAAAGAACATTTAAAGATGGGTCTCTATTCAGCAAGCTAACACGTTTACAGAGCATAAGTCTGAGCACTACAGAGGGCTTTGTTGTCATATGTTATTTATCTTACTTGACAGTTTTCTGTGAGCCCAACATGTGGATTCCTTGGTTGAAAGCATATATAAGTTGCTTAAAAAAAATTGTCAGATCTCACCCTTGGTCTGAGTGGCTACTACAGTGAAGAGGAAAAGAAAAGCTGAAGTGGACTTTGTTTCAGTGGCAACATACAGCTGGGTTCAAAGAAACACAAAGTAATCCCCAGCAATATTTTTCTGCTAACCATGCAAAATAGGCATTCCCACTTTAAATCGCAACTGGTGAAATTCTTTGTTAGCTTTAAATGGTCAATCTTCTCTGACTTAGACTTGGGAATTTAGTTACATGCCCAATGACCAGCTACTGCCTCCATCTCACAGAGTCAGATGCACTTCTACGTACTTCCTCTGCTATTTTCAGATCATCATTGTACTTTGTGTGATAGCTAGGTTTTCTATGCCAATATGGCTCTCATAGAAACATGTGGGCAGAGTTTAGCCTGTCAATCAGGTTGATTGGAAGGCAACCTAGATCAATGGCTGAGGCTAGCCTCCCTCTCTTTCTGTCCCTGAAGGTGCACCATACACTCGCTTTCTACTTTCACCTTCCTGCTGCCGAGCTATACTGAGACCTGAGAGCCCTGGCGATGCATCCACCACCGTTGGATCCACAAGACTTTGCCTCCCACCAGCCTGTGAACTTCCTGCATTTTGTATCATTACGTGTGGCTGCGTGAGTCTGAAGAGAGATTTATGGACTAATATTGCACTTATGGACTAGCAATGGACTTATGGACTTGATCTGAACAGGGCTGGGATGTTTGCATGATATATAATTATTTCTTAATATAAAGCTCTCTCTTACAAACATAGATGAGTGTCACTGGATTTGTTCCTTTAACACACTTTGGTTGATTTAAATTATTATTTTTTCAACCAAACAGTGTATAACCTCTAAATAAATTAAAATCTGCAAATCAAAAGAAATTCACATGAAGCCTCTCAATATTTTTGAGGAGATTGGCCAGATCTGTGGGGTCATCATGTCTGCTGTGTTGGACCACACCAAGAAGGGTCACCATGGACCATGGGCTCCCTGGAGTGCAGTTTACTGTCACATCCATTGGTACCTATGGAAAGACTATCTCTATAAGTAGAGGGAAACAATTTGTGGTATAAAACATTAACATTCTAAGCTGTTAACCAAAAGGTGGGGGCTTAGAAACCATGCAGAGGTACCTGGATGAAAGGCTTACTGATCTACTTCTCAAAAAGCAACCCTTGAAGACCCATGCCACTCAAATGTACATGGAGTTGTCCTGCGTTGGCATGGTTTGATTATAAATCACGGAGGAGGCATAGGCGGTCGTTGTCCTTGGGCAATTGCGTAGAAGCAGTATATGAAGACCTCTGAAGGTATCTGGGTGGCACAGGAGAGCTCTTACCTGAACTGTGGTTTCCTGCTAACAAGGTGGGGCTCACAGAGGACCTTCCCAGTCTACTGGTCACCACTGGTGGTCCTGGGGTCCCATCCCATTCCTGAGCTTTGCCAGGCTCTCTGGAGGTGGATGTCCCATGATGCCCTCTCTCCTTGCTGTCCAGCTTTGGTATTGGCTCCGTGCTGTGGCTTCGTACCTTCAGCTCCTCTGTAGACTCTGTGGGTAAACCAGAGTGAGATCCCATTAAGCAAACATGGGACCCTTCCACAGTTCCCTTTTCAGAATTACAGCATGCTCTCCCCAAATGTTCTCAATATAGTTTTGAAAAGTTATCCTTGTGCTTGAGATTCCAAAATGGAAATATAGCAAGGTATACAGGCCCCATAGTACATATCTTTTTGAGCCATGTTGGTTCATATCACTGGGAAATGTAGTTTACTCTTTGCAAGCAGAACAGCACGGGGGAATCTTTAGACTGCGTTAGTTATACTTCTCTTATGCTCAATCTCAAGCAAGCGTTTAATGAAGTATTGGACATGCATGCTCTGTTTGTTCTCATCTTTCCCTCACTCTCTGATGTGACGTGGATTCAGTGTGTGCACTCCACTAAACCAACTCTTGCTATGATCCTGTAGGGCTTTTTAGCTGACCAGGTTGGAAGATATTTTTCAGGCCACTTGACAAACTTGATTTCTCTTATTTAAATCTTTAATTCTCCTGATTGATGGTGTAGCCTACCTTCTTGTATTGTGTTCTATTTCTTACACCATTTATAGGCTATTTACACTTTCTTTCCACCTGGTGGCATAGTGTGTTAGCAGCTGCACTGCTAATGGCAGGATCAGCAGCTCAAACCCTCTACGAGGTGTCCTCAAACTATGGCCCGTGGGCTACATGCGGCCCACCTAGGACATTTATCTGGCCCGCTGAGTGTTTTTGCCCCATTTGTTTTTTTACTTCAAAATGATATATGTGCAGTGTGCATAGAAATTTGTTCATAGCTTTCTTTAAAAACTATAGTCCCACCCTCCAACAGGTCTGAGGGACTGAACTGGCCCCCTGTTTAAAAAGTTTGAGGACCCTCTAGCTATTCTGTAGAATAAAAATGAGGCTATCTGCTCCCATAATAATTTACAGCCTCAGAAACCCTATATGGAATAAAACCAAGCTCACTGCTATTGAGTCAATGCTGACTCACAGCGACCCCATGTGGGTTTCTGAGACTATAACTGTTTACAAGCTTAGAAAGACCAGTTTTTCTCCCTGGGAGCTACTGGTGGTTTTGCATTACCAACCAGGCGAATGGCAGCCCCCAACTTGTAACCACTACACCACCAGAAATCCCGTATAGGGTCAGCATAAGTCAGAATCAGCTAGATGGCAATGGTGAGTGGTTTCCTTGACCAAAGTTTACTGCTCTCTGATTCCATGTGACCTTAAGCATCTCTAGGCTTCAGCCAGCAGCCAACCATATGCTAAATGATTTCTCAACATTTTGTCTGAAACCTACACAACTCTCCCAAGTTCCAAGCTCATTTATGTAACCGTCTGCTGAATTAGTCCACTCGAATGCCTGATGGATAACATCAGCTCAATGCTGCAGATACTGAACTGTCAGCGGTTCTTCAAAAGGGTAGTCCTCAAACCTTGAAGCGTTGTCCCTTTCTTTATCTGTTACTTTCTAAATTCACCAGTGAGCAGATTCTGTCGATTTTACCCCTGAGTATCTTGTTCTCCCAGGTGGCCTGTTTTGTGCCACGTCCACCTCTCTGACTTTGGTTCAAGGTCTCAATAGTGGTGTTAGGTGTCATCATTATCTCTCTCGACTCTGTCTTTGTTTCTTCAAAGTGGAAGTTCAATAGCTGTTTAATGGATTTGCTTATAATGCAAACGTCATTACCATGGAGCACTGCCTAAAATCCTTCCAGAGGCCCTGCATTATCCGCAGAAGATAGTTTAAGCTACTTAAGATGACTCACAAGATTCCCTACTATCTTGTCTTTCTTCATAACCTCCTCACTCTCTGATCAATATTGTACTCCAGGAACACCAAATCGATTGTAGCTTCTTCCTCTCACTTCAGCCTTAGAACACCATTGCCGCGCTCTATCCCCATCTCCTCTCGGCACCCCTATCTCTTCTCTCTTCTTGGTTAACTGCCCTCGACCAGTTACTAGATTCAAATATTTTCTGAAACCTTCACCGTCTTTATCACCACCCCGCTTAGGGTCACTTGCATCTTAGAAGGTTTTCTGTGCCCTGCTCTGGTGCTTTCTTTATCCCTGCATGCACCAGTTCTCTTCCGAAAGGCCTCAATCCAGGAACTGTTGTTTGTTTGTTTTATTGTTGTGTCTCTCACACCTACCATATTTTCTGGAACATGAACAGCGCTCAAGAGGTCTGTAATTCGCTATTTAGCTAATTTAGTTCTTTTCTCAACTCCTTAGACATCCTGTGATGTGTATGGGAAACACAACATTGTTAAGAGGAACGAGAGACCCAAGCAAGTGTTGTAAATGTGTTGAAATGACATGGAGTTCATTATAGTTGGAGAAATCTGATTCGCTAGCAATCTCAAGTTGTAAACTTCCCCAGGTGACAAGTGTACTTCAAATGTGATCCCTTTGAAATGGACTATTGGGGCAGTTGGGTTTTATGTTAACATGCACCTGTGTGGAGGTAGGGGTGGAGCCCAGCCAATCAACCGCTCATTGTTGATGATGCTCCCTTGAGAGTGTGGCCTCGTCATAAGAGAGATCTGGGGAACTACCTCTCTCACTCGGACCCTCCCCCTCCCTGCTGGCTGGAACTCTGTGCCTGCCTCTGGGGGTGGCCACGTAGGCCGACAACCCAGGGAGGGGTCAGTGGCCTACAGATCTGTGTGACTATTTACCCACCAGCCCATGGTCTCCGTGCTTCCCATTTCACCTTCAGGAGTTAGTTATTGGCCTGTAACTACATGAGCCTGCAGAATGCTCTGGCTCGCATCAGGCCCAGGGACTAGAGTTGAACTGAGTTGGGGCAAAGGTCTTTCTAATAGGTATAGGAATGGCACTGATTTTGTATCTCTAGACAACCTAACCTAACCTAAAAGTAATAATTTGGAGAATTGGTATTTTGTTTTCTTTATACATTTTTATGTTTAAATGGCCATCAGATAGTCATAAACTTTTAGCAGTGTGATAATTCACACTGCACATCCTGCCATACAACACGTGCATCATAAACAAGCTTTGAGGTGGTGGGTTACAGCAGATGAAGAACCCTAGCACCCCTGCCCCTTAGGGCCTTGATGGGCCTAATATGACGGGGTAGCTAATTCCTCCTCCACTTAGTCCTCATCATTCTTTAAAAATATAAAGTCCAGATCATCTCAGCTTTGCCGCACATTCTAGATTTCATTTTAAGGATCTAATATTATCCTATATTTTAAAGTATTTTGAAAACTAAAAAATTCACACAAAAACACTCATTAAAAGGTAGTATTTTTTCAATACATTTTAACCATTTGTCCTCTCGGGTGTGTTGAATATTTCTGCATTCAGGAGATATCACTGCTATAGTCTCTTGCAACTCTGAGATGCTATGCAGTTGCATAAACACATGTCACAAATGACATTCCAGGAGATAACACTTGATCCAGGAGGGTTAATCCCTAACAAGCACCTCAGAACAACTTCAGGTCTGTTAGAGCATTTGTGTGTAAGCTTAAGTCTCAGTAACATTGAAATGCTGTAAAAAGTCATACATTCCAGCATAAGATTATCAGAACACATTTTGTAGCCAGCATTTGCTTTGCAGTGTCAACATGAAATAATACCAGTATCAGAAAAGGACATCATAGATATTTCCAAGCTGTTTATTGTTTCAAAATAAAATGTAGCTCTGTCTTCCGAAGGTCACAGCCTCAAAATTTTATTGGCCCATCTGTTTCACCCGGACATAGACGTGTTGGGCTCCAACAGTTCAAAACCACCAGGCGCTCTGAGGGAGAAAGACAATACTTCCTATGCCCTTAAAGATGCACTGTCTCAGAAACCCACAGGGGCAGTTCTATCCAGTCTTCTAGGCTTGCCGTGCTTTGAAATCGACTCGATGGCTGTGAGTTTTGTTTGTTGGTTTGTTTTTGTGTAGTATTGTGAACTAGGGGTTGGATGGTTCACCGTAAGATCAGCAATGAAAACCTACCTGCTTCGCTGAGGGAGGCTTAGATTGCCTGCCCCTGTAATGATTTAAAGTCCCCCAAACTCTATATAGGCCCATTATGAGCCAGAAGCACTTTGACAGCAGTGAGTTTTACAGAAAAGTCTGCAGTTAAAACTCAGTAGCAGCTCCTTAGATGAAAGATGAGGCTGTGTGATTCAATCATGATTTACAACTTGATGGAGCAGTTGTAATCTCTTCTACAGGATCATGAGTCAGAATTGACGTTCTGTCAATAAGTTTTATTAGGCTGGTTGTCTCTGTCTCTGTCTGTCTGTCTCTGTCTGTATCTATCTATCATCTATCTATCTATTTTATTGCTGCCATTAAGCATTGACAAGGTTTCTTTTTCTTTTTTTTCCCTCCTGTGTATCACAGACACAAAACCCTCTCCCATGAGAATCCAAACCAGCTCAAGCAAGAATTCTCCAACTGAATGTTAGGTCCAGTATCATGCCTGCAGATCCAGACAATATTTTTAATATGAAAGGAGGAGGATTTGTGGCAAGGTGCCTCCACCAGCATCAGCCTCTTTGTTCTCATTCAAATCACTTCCTCAGACAAACCAGGGGAGTGTCGCTTGGTCTCTAGCCTGTACCAAATGAAAGCTTGATACCCGATACAGCTTTGGAAACAAAAAAGAAGCGCCCCTTCCCCCCCCACCCTCTTTTTTCTTTTTCTTCTGTCTTTGTCTTCAAATCCCAGAGGTTAGTCGCCTGTGAATTTGGCAGGTGTATTAAGAGCAACTTGAACAAAGGGATTGAAGAATTTGTCGGCAGTCCTCCCTCGGGCCTGTGGCTGTGTGCTTGAATGCCAGCCTCCCAAATGGAAGGCAGGGTTTAAGAACTGCTGAGGAAAACACCAGCCTAAATGGGGACCATTTGATTCGAGAACAAGTTGTTGTTCTCATACATGTTCAAGGACGGCTTCCTACAGAATGTGTTTTCTAATGCAAAGAGAGATGACAAGTTGTACAGCAACCCCTGAGTAGCGACAAATGAAGAGTTGCCAGC